AAGTGAAAGAACTCTGGTTTTAATGCAAAAGAAGTTACTGCTGTAGATGTTTCTCAGACATCAATTTCACTAATGAACAACACATTTGTCATTTGGAAATCCTGCAGGATAAACAGTATCAAAAACAGAACAAGCTGAAAAGGAAGAGAACACTGGCAATAATAAATGCAGAGCTACAAACAGTAGCTTTAATTAAATGTAGTCAAGGCTTTAAGAGAAGATACAGGCTAGCATATACTGTAACTTTTATCTAATTATATCATCAGTTATCTAAAGACTACAAAAGTAGCTAAAAAGGATGTCCTCTGTCTTCTCTGTTACCTCAACCATGTGCCTCTGCAGAAAAAGAGTAAACATTACAAACCTGGTTACACAATGTTTTAGCAAGCTGTATCTCAACTCTTAACATCTTGAGGAACGTTTGAATCCACAGGGCAGAGACCACTAGAGGGAGGGCTCACCAAGCTGATTAACAAATCTGTATCTCTGCTTTTAGAATATCTCACTGCAGGGCTCACTTCAGTTAAACTTTCAAAGACTTTCTGAGCCAATCTCTGCTCAACTGAAGCAATAGTTTTGCAAAAAGATAGATACAGTAAAGTCAAAAGATGCCATAAATAAGTTCTTCTACACTTAGTTCAGACTACTGAACTTACCTTTGCTTCTTCTACAGCTGGTATGTGTAAAGTAGATAACAGGGTAAGAGAGCACATCCATGTCAGAACTGGCATCTTAAATTGAGCCACAGCAAATGAAGTAATTGCATGTAGTAAAATCACTGACAAGCCCTTAATTCCTAACAGAAACCAGCAAGCCACCATTCCATATACCATCAGACACCAAGGTTTATACTGCAAGTAAAGAAAAAAGAATTACCAACTATTACTTCAACTATTTCAAACATTAAAAAAACCCCACACTTAATAAACAGACTGTTATACACGTGCTTTACAGGAAGCAGAGACACATAAGTAAAACCAGCTGGGAAATTACACAAAGAGATATAACTCTACCCCTAAAGAAACTCCTGCTGGTATCTCTTAATGACCTCAGCACTAGGTATGAAACATATGGACTCCCTGAAGCTGTTGAGTGAGGATTCCAATTCCTCCTTTCATTCTCTGAACTAGAAAAGTTCATTTTTTGTGAAGTTTTGTGACAGCCTTTCAGAGGACACCACAAAATTGAATCACTATCAGTTTGGCTCAGATATTATCGGTTATTACACACTATTTAACTTGAATAAGGTGTCTTTTCCAGCACTCCTCAACTTGCCTCAGCTACGCCTCATCAGCTTCTAACAGGAAAGAATATACAACTGTCTTTCCGACGCATTATTGTGTGCCTTCACAGGAAGTGGGGGACAGCTTCCCAAGACCAGAATAGATATATGTATACGTGTGTGTGGGTGTGTATGAATAAGAGGACAGCACTGAATAGAGATAAAGTTACTTGTAGCTTATATGTCTGTGCCTAAAATACAATTCAAGGCTTTCTACAGAAGACAGTTTCGCACAATTCATACTGAAGCCTCTCTTACTTGGCCATATATATACATATATAAAAAACTTACTAAGTTTCTGTATTCTTATAGGGGGCATCCAGTTCTTTCCTATTCTGCATAGATGACACTATTAAGAACTCTTAACTCTACAAGCTACATATCCCAGTACTCCAAAGAAAGAGCAAGCCACAAATAACATGTGGAAGAGTTAAAGCAACCAAAGGGAGCAAACTGGTTGATAGGTGTTGATGAAAGCTGTCCCAGTAACCTAATTTTACTGGAAGGCTGAGTTCAGCTGGATATGTAGCTGGACCCTAGTCCAGCCTTGAGGTCTGAAGATACAGAAGCCCCCACATACACACACACACACACACACACACACCCACCCCACTCTCACTTCCATGCAGAGTGACACCCCGAGGATGTTTAAACTTAACAGCTCTTGCTTTTAAACAGTTCCTGTACCAAAAAAAAGGCCTGAAAGCCAAACCTAGCTTATGGTTTGGCCAAGAGCCAAACACCAGCTCGTTGTGCTACAGTCACAAAAATCTCTGGGATTTATTTGGCAGATAACAATCTGCTCAAAAAGAGCTATAAGGGACATCACGGCTTTATGTGATTATTTCCTGTATTAGGAATAGCTACTGCTCCAGCTCCCAGACTCTGGAGATAAAGTTAGCCTTAAAACTGGTGTCAGACCTCTACACTACTGTCAAAGAATAAATATTTAGTATGCTTTTAAAGGAGTGGCACTCTAAAATTTCTGTTTTGCAACCTTCTGTTGCAAAATGTAAAATGAACAAACCTCAAACTCAAGTTCTAGGTAACTTCAGTTAGCTCTCTCCTCTCGTCCTATAAACCCAGGAGAAAATTTCTGACAGGGGACGTCACATGTTTAAAACTTAAATTGGTGGAATTAAACACCTGGAAGAGTGTCCACTGTGATATATCAGGCAATCATTAATAGGCAGAGGTGCCAGACCAACTGAATACCCAAATACTGTGCTATTCAGATAGCGCAGATCAGCAGAAATGGAAAGCCCTTTCAGCAGAGTTAGTCAGAAGCAGGGCACTTCCACTAGCTTGAAAATGCCAGTACAATTGTATATGCCTCTCTATACTTCACCAGAGCCTCCCAAGCCAAAATACTTTAATTACCCATTGTATATTGATAGTACATGCAGAGGAAAGAGCCACACAACTTCAGAAATTTTTCTTTAGACTTTCTAGGCAAATAAATGGTACTTTGTCATGAATTGCATAGTCATGTTATTTTTTAAATAATCATTTCAAAATCTTGAAAGAGATTTTAGTCCTTTTAATGTATAAAAGTCTAATAATATTTTTAGTATATCACAGCAAAACAATTTTTCGAGTATAAAGTGTCCAACTGCAGACCCAATGCAGCCCATCTCCTCACTTTGCACATCACTACAAATCAATTCAAATAACGTATTCTACAGGACTTGGTTTTTATCAGTTTGTAGTCTAAATGTCTGAGTTTCAATTCCTACAGCTAGTTAAAATAAATGAAAACTCAGTTGCAAAATACATGTATACGTACCTTTTCCAGAAAGAGTTGGGACATTTGCGACACTAGTAGATGACCAACCAGAAGCCACAGGATATGTTCCCTTCCCCATTCTATCCAGTAACTCCACTCAAAATCCAGGGAATCCTAGTGCAAATTTAATTAGTACATATGAACGTCTAATCATAAAAAGATATCCTTAAAAGACAATGAAATGTCTTAAATACTAGATCTGTTATCCAATACCACAAAATACTATGTGTATAGAATTTTACTGTTTAAGCAGTCAAGTCTCATTAATCACAGTGATGAGATCCAAGAACTCCTTTTTGACTTCCAGTTATTTGAAATTCAGAGAAATATCTTTAGTTAGTGTCACGTTGCATACACCTAAAGCCAGACTGACTTGACGGAAGTCTTCCAAGTTGATCAATACTGCAAAAATGTTCAAATCAGAAGGCACACAGATAGACACATGTACACAGGTACACACATTCTACTACAGCAGTAAACAAGATAGTGAACACAGAGATGGTATAACATGCCCACCTCTAATGTCTCCCCTTCAAACCTACTTGCTTTTGTTCAGTCAGAATATTTTTGTAGGAGGCCTCCAGGAACTGTATGTATTCTGAATTAGGGTCACTAGGATTCATGCTGATAACAGCTGAGCAGCAGGGAAATGAGGTGTGCCAAGCCACCTTTGGGCAGGCCCTTTATGAAAGCACATTCACTTCAGTCTCGTTCCACCTTCAACAAACTCATTAGTCAAACAGAGCTGGATGGAGGAAAAATATAGTTTCCAAATGGAGCGATTCATGTTGAGAAAAAAGGAAAACAAGAAATTGCAACTGTACCTGAATTACTCCTGGATTACTCAGTTATGCACTTCCATTATTTAGAGATCCACATACAACATTACCTTCATTCAGGTCAGTTGTACTGACCCTCTTTCAGCTCTTAGGCAATTTAACTTTATAAAAATGGACTAATGAAAATTTTACATTCGTTGCCAAAACTTTCCCAAACTACATATATTACCTTGCTCCTAGCCTGAGGTCTCAGATTAATCACAATAGAATAACTTTCTTTTGAAAAAGAAGCAAAGTTAATGCTTGGAAACACAGAACATGCCCTATCTACAAAACCTGTGTTCTACTCTCTGCTCAGAGGAACAACTACTTGTTTAAAAGTTCATTCAAGAATAATCTGAAGAAGAAAAAAAAAGATCTTCTCTACCTCGGCCAGGAAATTACATGCAAACTGTTCCACATATTAGGGAGAAAGGGTTTTCTGACAACTAGGCAACAAAGTGCTACAGGAGTCATACGAAAGATAACAACATACCAGAGCTATCATTATCACAGACACCGCAAATTGTCACAAAGCGCACATCAAGAGAAATACCCAACCACGTCCAGAATCAAAATACTAAAAAAAACCACACACACACACCACTCCACAATTGGAATACAATTGCAACAATGCTGTCAGTCTTTAAGACCACAAATATCTTAGCATAGGGCTGAAAAGATTTGGCCCCAAATGCCTCAGAGGTGCACCTCAGCATCTCTGTCCCTCTGGCTCTCCTACAGCTGTTGTGAGACACCACCTGCAAGCTCCTCATTTCAGAACAAGCTAGTTCAGCAGAAAGAATTTCCAGCTGGTCTTTCGGCTTCCAGTGAAGATCCAGAGCGACTTCCTTTCCAGAGGCACAATCATTTTAAACAGCTCAATTCTTTCCGGCATAAGGAAACCTTGCCAGAAATCCTTGCACTTATTTTAATTGTGTTTGAATTTTCTTGCTGCCTTAACAGTCAAAAATATCACCTTTTCATCACTGTTGGAAAATTGACTGTACAGTCCATGCTGGGCTGTGCTAAAATATGGCTACGTGAAAGGAAGAAGTAAAAATCTACTTCCCACAGTCCAATGGAGATCAGAACCACGGATACTTCATTGGCTAGCACCCCCTTCTCGTTCTCTGAACAAGCTTTCCTATTGCTGTAGCCAAAGCCTGCTCCTTGCTAAAAGGCAGCTTGCTTGCTTTATGTTATGAAAGCAAGGACAATATGCCAAATCCTACTGTAAGGTAAATGACACCACACAATCATGCTGAATTTTCAGCTGAATTATGCACAAGATTTTTTTTTTAAGCCTTTATAGAATACTTTGAATACAAGAAAGCACATTTATGTGGACTTTTTTTTTTTGAAGAAAATTAAGAGCAAATCTAGACTGCTCTGCAAAAGCTAATTTGGATGAAAATACACCTTGCTTGGAAAGGATCATTTAAATGATGGGTTCAATAAATCCAGTTTTGATTAGATGAAGTCAGGTCAGTTTGAAATACTTGTTACATGCAAGTGTCATTAATAAGACAGAAGGGATATGTTAGTGGCCCATTCCCTGTACAAAGCCACAATAAAAGCCAAAAGACTTGAGAAAAGACTTGTGGCTGTTTGCAGGACTAGGCTTTAGCATTTCATAGGCTTCCAATTTTCAGAATTGTCCTTGTTTTCTTTAAAATAGCAAAACACACATGAAGAGTCCTCTAGAGATGGTGACAAAGGACCTAAATATCAAAATAATTCTATTTTTTTTTTGTTTCGCTAAAATGAGGTCCTATATCATTCACACATTTTTTTTCAATAAAACAGCCTTTTTTAATATAAGATATTCCATATTTCTTTACATATTTGCACTGCAAAAATCTGTTCTCTTGCATGCGGGACCACAGACCAATTAAGAATGAAACTAGTATTTGCTGACATTAAACATCACCAAAAAAACAAATAGCTTAAAAATTGAGGAGGGAGAGAAAAATAAATAAGAGAGTTATGCTGGAGTTATAAATGGTGCTTGGAAAGACAAACAGCAGCACTGAAGAATACGTGATTTTACCACTGAGAGACTCCAGACTAGCAAAGAAGAAAAAACCCTATCATTAGAATTCCTAGGCCTGGATGCACCGGGCAAGCTTTTTTCCCTCATTAGAAACAAACTTTTCTATGCTTTGGCAGATTTACAAAAAAAAAAAAAAAAATCTATTCAGTACCTATGCTTAGAGGCTGTTTTCTTGTTCCTCATGGAGTTTGGAGTCAGGAGACTACTGGAGTCTGGCTACATAAATGGAGAGAAGTATCTAACTGTGTCAACAAAATCTGAAAAATATTAAAACACCTAAGATTAAGTTCAGTTATAAGAAGCCATCTCAGAAAAGCAGCCCAATATACAGTGAAGCCATTTGCTCCAGGAGCTCTGTATCCTAGAACTTCATTTAATACATCTGATTCCTGAAAGGAAACATTAATGAATGTCAAGAACAGATATTTACACTAAATTTACAAACTAAAAGTGTTGGTAACATGCATTAATCTTACCTTTTTAAGCCCATGAAACAGAGTGCCCTGTTCCAATCCAAAATCTCTGTCAATTTTGTCTTCATACTCTGCAAAGAATAACACATCTTCATTAATGGCAGATCACTAAGCCAGAGGCAGTGCACTCTGTTTCTGAAGAGCAGCAAATTCTTCACACCTGTGTCACAAATATAGATGCTCAGAACCAGGGAAGAGGTAATTTCTATGCAGAAGGAATTTTAGAAACACATAGACAACAAACCAAAGTTTATGCCTACCCAGTGGACATAGTGTGAGGGAATTGCTTGAGAAAGGCTCTAGTTTTCTCTAAGTTCCCCTAACAGGGGGTATGGCATTACAGAGGCTTGCTTCAGGAGAGAGACAGTTAGCGCTTCCAGGATGGTTGGTTCTAGTTCTCCAGAATTCCCTTGGCAATGCAATCTGCCCTCCTCGCACATACTGATAAGAGTAAAGGGAGAATAGAGCAGAATGGAGACACCATGGCCATACTTCGTTGGCTTCCCTGTGGAAGGGATAATCTGATGGTGCCGTGCACATGATGAGCAAATGGAGGGTGGAGCAGAGTGAAGACAACACGGCCATGCTCAGTTGTACTCGCTGCAGAGGTGGCAACCTAGTTGTACCACACAGCTGATGGACTACCTAGTGCGACATCTGGTGCTGGGCCAACAACGATGGCAGATCAGTCCCTTCCGATTGGCTTTGCTCAAACTTAGAATCATAGACTGCTTAAGGTTGGAAGGGACCTCTGCAGATCATCTAGTCCAACCTCCCTGCACACGCAGGGTCACCTAGAGCACGTGGCACAGGACTGCATCGAAGCGGGTTTTGAAGATCTCCAGAGAAGGAGACTCCACAACCTCTCTGGGCAGTCTGTTCCAGTGCTCTGTCACCCTCACTGTTAAAAAATTTTCCTTAAATTCACGGGGAACTTTTGGTGCTTCAGTTTGTGGCCATTACCTCTAGTTCTTGTCCTCCTTCTAATCTCATTATAATACCAATAGAATGCCATCCCAGAAGTCACCCGCTTCCAAGGAATGACCACTCCTTACTGAGCATGCTTTCTAGATTTTCGATTAACTCAGGAGGATTTTTTTTAAAATCAATGAATAACGAAAGTAAATATGACTAGTGTCACTCAAGCTCCACCTAAGTGCAAAAGAAAATGTAAATGAAGAAGGGAGAAGGAAGGTTCTATCGTAACTTCTGGCTCAGTCGACAGGCTGAGCTCCTTTCTTCCTGTGCGGAAAATCTCGCTGTCAAGAACTGAATGCCCAAAAAAGAGACAGAGGAGTATTCGAATAAATATCCCGGGCATATCCCTGTGGGGTCTCTCAAATTGCTGGAGGACGCAACCCCCCCTTTTATCCTAATTTCCCGACCGAGGGACGCCCTCTCCTTTTCCCCATTGGCCAAGGTACTCAGAAGTTACAGCCTTGCCAGCCTGCCTATACCAAACTCCTGCCCCCTGCCATCTGTTCTCACCTAAGGTCACTGGACTCCTTTGTCCCCCTTGCTGAAGAAGGTGAGGGAATTCCCCTATTTCCCTCCTTTGTAAAGGCCCCCATCTCCTTGCAGATGGCTCTTTTGTCCCACTCCCACTCATGGCTCCGCTCAGTCTCCCCTCCCTTTGTCCTGCTCTTCAGCCAGACTGTGGGGGAATCCCCTTATTGATGAATACAGAAACTTGAGCATTTGCTCACCCTCCTCAGGTCAGGACACTGCCAGAGGAGACTCCTCAAGATTGAGAGCCCTCTCCCATCTTCTGGCTAAGTGATGATTGCACATTTGTACACTAGGCACTATTTAAGAACCCCACACTGTAGTAGAGAATTTCCTATACTGCCATCCAAAACCTGTTTTCCAAATGTTGTATTTGAGTAAATTGTACTATTTGTGAACCCGGCCACTCGTTTAAAAGGCAATTGGACCTACAGTCGACAGACTATTGGTGAATCTGATACTGCCAGAGTCGAGCTTATAGTTGATCACACTTTGGAAACTTGATTAGCACCTAGGAAGGTGATCAGATTGACAGTCAGCAGACCGTCAGTAAAACTGATAACTGTCAGAGTTTGGTGTATAGCTAACACAGTATTTGGTATCCCTATTAGGAGGGGAATCCAGCTGCCCCTAGTCCCTCCAACCTTTAAGGATCAGCTGGAATACAAAGCGATTCATCTCTTACCAAATTCCTGCCTCCCCGCCGCACAATCAAACCGCAACACATAAACAAGATGCCCTTCTCTAATGAACCCCTGCAGCTCCTGAACTTTCACCTCTGCTCATCCAGAATTTTTGCAAAACAAATGCATAATACCCTGGATCACTAGGCACAATTTTCCACCCCCTTTTGGATCTACGCAAGCTACTTCAGCAGGCATAAATAAGTTAGTGAAGCTTTGCATGTTGCCACTCATCAGCCGAGCTGCAATATCTAACTAGGTAAACATTTGTAGCCAGTAAAAAATGTAATGCATAGTTAGTCATACATGTATCATTGAAGTGTAATATTCATTAAAATATTCATTGTTTTATACATAATCATTGGTCTCTAACATTAGAAACACACTGGGATAAAACACAGATATTTATTGCAATGAGAACAAGTAATCTATGAAATATGCTTCTAAATCATCTAGACATCATCTAGAAGCTCTCACTTCAGTTACATGATGGCAAGAAGCTAAGTCCTTAAACACACTCAGTTGGAAAAAAAAAGAAAATTAAAAATTTACATGAAATATGCTCCAGTTTTTTATGCAAGCCTTCAACCTCCATCTAAAAAATTAATCTCTCTACAAATTTTTTTTCCTCTTACTGTAATACAGAAGATAAATCTGTAGAAAAGCTTTCTCCTCCTATCTAAGAATGTGTCTTTTGCTCTAGAAGGCTAAAAAAAGCATCTTGGCTCTACCACTCTAAAAATCTTGTCAATCCGCCATGACTAAATATAGTAAAACTGTTGATGTTTTTGAGGACACCTAGTGGACCTGGAGCAACCTTCAGTGGTGGAAGGTTGCTTCTTCCAGTGCTTTTTTTCACACTGGAAACAAGCTGTTTCAGAGAAATAAAAGAAAACTTGTCCTGCTTAGTATTTACACATAATTTTATATGCTTGAAGTACCACAGTTTTTAAATCACTTCCCACAATCCGTGAGGTACCCTATTGTACAAGCAGGATTTACAAGAGGATTTATTCACAGAGACGAAACTTAAGTCAGAGGCCAGGTTAGAATTTGATCCAGTCCTGTCAACTTCTACTTGTAAAATCAGTGGAATTAACCGAATGGCACTGCAGGAGAGCTCTAATCCTCAGGGCTCTTTGATACAAGTAGTTGCCAACCCACCTCAATAAAACCTCCCAGAGTGGAAAGGAAGAAAAAAAAAAAAAAAAAGCACCTCCCACACACTTGGAGAGATCCATTCCTTACAGAGCCACAGTTACAGTCAAAATACACATCTGCGAGTCATCAGTAGCCAGACATGTAACAAGATGAGTACCTACATCATTCTTACAGCATTACTGGCCTCCTAGACTGTCCTCTATCCTCTATCTCCTGTTTATCAGGTCCTGCTCTGGCATTTGTGGTTAGACTCACTTCTGCAAAAGGCTCCCAGTGGGAGCACTCTGGCTCCTATTCCAACCATGGTCCCAATTTGATCAGCCTTAGGTGTTAACCACCAAGTTCTTCGCTTAGAGAGAGAAAGAGAGAGACTGTTCCTCTCTCCCCCGCCCCAACTCGCGTAACAACATACTGATCCTGCGCTGGGATCTGAATATAACCATAAAACAAAACTAAATTTAGATTTTTAGTTAAATGGAAAGGCTACACTATGTAAAAATCAATCTGTACTGTAGAAGCACACAAAGGAAATCTCTCCGTGTTCTCAGTAGTGAGAAAAGTATCTATCTCAGTTTTAACCTCCAACTTGCTATAAGCCATCTATACAGGACATTTCAAATACAGGCAGAAAAAAATAATTCTATCTTCACCAGCTGTCATCCTTTTTCATAAAACAGATTTTCATGCTAAGAATTATAATCCAAAATAGTAAGTATAAAAGATACAATGGAAAAACATAATTGCATTGTTTTAACATGCAGAGCATAATAATCAACATTATTTCTATATTTTAAGACTACTTGATATCTCCCTCTAGTGGGAAAGCAAGATACAAGACTTGAATACAAGTATGGTAAAGCCATTAGGAGAACAAGGCCTTTCAAGTCAGTTTTCTACAAACATTCTGCCCTCCAAACTGACTACGTTCTGCAGCTTGCAGGTACCTCCCAGTACACATTTAGGTAGTAATTCGCCAGCTTCTGGGGAAGCACATTCCTATCCTTAATTTTATTCTCACAAGCAGTTTTAGAAAGCTTCTAGTCAACACATAACAACACATTTCTCTAACTTCTCTAGCTATGTCTATCACTTAATGCCATGCTTGCTTACCCTGAGTATATGCAGCTTTTCTTTCTTTCAAAAGAATTTTAAGACTGTTATGTTCAATATAAGTCAATACTCAAGAAAACAAAAATATTGTAGCAGCTATAAAGAGAATAAATGAATATTCAAAGAATATTCACATGCTTTTAAAAGAGCTGATAAACTGTATAAACAAATGGGCATTCACTAAAAGTTAACAGAATACCTTAATTCCAGAGTTCACTGTATGTTAGCAAAACATTTCCTGTTGCCCTCCTCTGATATTCAAGCCTTAAGGATCTTTTAGGACAGCAATGATAAATCTGGACTGCACTGGTGGGGAGGGAGAGGGCTGGAGCACAGAAGGCATTTGAATCCTTCCAACATTCATATCACAGATCAAGTCTCAAAACTGAGTTCCACAGAAGCAAGCCTGCTACTTCTTAGGCCAGTGATTCCCTTCCTTCTCTAGCACTGGCAAAGAAAAATAACCTGCCTACACATTAGACAATTTGAATTTTTAAATGTGAACTCTTGTAACAACTTCCAACAGCTCAAGAAGAAAGGTTCTCAGTAGACCCTTCACTTCATATGGTAAGTTCCAGGCTACTTGGGAAAATAAATAAATAAAAGGTTCAATTACTTGATTAAAACAGTTACTAAAGGCTTTTACTACAGGCCTAAAACAAATCAGATGAGACTCTTATGATTATTAAACTTTTAAAGGGTAAGAGCAACAGAAGCAAAACTGAATATTTAATATATTAATTAAAACTGTTTATGCAAAGTTTATTAAATTTTTGGAGCAGCTCAGTTACTAGTGATATTAAAGGGAGAGATGCTTTGACACCAGCATAGGAAGACTGCAAAGCTGCTTGCACATGCAAACATGACTTAGAAACCATCATGTCCTTTAAAGTTCTGCCTTATCCTTTTCAGTTTTATACATAAAAAAAATCATGTGCTGTAAAACCCTCAGACAAAAAAAACATGATTATGCAAGTTCACTTGGAGTAAATATAAGAGAACAGGTGCTCACAATTCCAGACGTCAAGTTCTTAAGCATCTGCTGAAAAATTCATTATGAAATACAGTATTTGTCTGTTTCTCTTTTTACAGTTTTGCTCCATTATCACTAAAAAGGAGAGTCATATAACCTTTTTTAATAAATACTGTGTAGTAATTTTTAAGAGATCTATCTTATCTGCAGCAAAATATCAATAACAGATCTAATTAAAATGCAGCATATCACAAAATTTTAAAAATAGCCAGTTGAGAAAAAGTTACGCAGGTGGTAGGTTTCAAGACTAATGGAAAATCCCGAATTCAGAAAGCGGGTGGGTTTCTTTTTTTTTTTTTTTTTGGGGGGGGGGGGGCGGTGCATTTTCCTTACTTCAGCAGCTAAACAATATTGTGGTTAAGGGTAAGGCATACACATTGTTGAATTGACAAACACAGTCCTGAATGAAAGAGATTGCAAAAGAATGGCCTTTCTTTCAAAAGCCACAGTCACTGCACAACAAATAGCTTCTATGCAGCTCAGTGGAACTTCTTATACACAATGGCACTTCTTATGCACCCTAAAAAAAGAGAGCTATTTCCATGTTTTCTTAGCCTGGCATGATATACTCCTAGTGAAAAAAATGGAAAAAGCTTTGGTTATACCAAACACACAGGATTTGTTTCTACTGCTTAGAAAAGACCTATGGAATGGGAAGGCAACAAAAGAAAAAACAGAAATATTCCTAGTAGCCTGTTCTAGTATTTCCCTGATTTTGTAGCACATTAAGAGTAGTAAAGTTTGTTGCTGTAGAGTAATCTCACTTGTAATGTAACTATAAATTCATAGATACCACTGCATTAAATCAATGATGTCCAGACTTCTGTTTGTACAGAATGAAATTTGTGATGTTTGTTCAGCAATGAACTATCATGTCCAACTATACTAAAATAGACAGGTTACAGCAATTCTTCTTGACCAATTTAGCTATGGAAAACTTTATGGAATTAGCTGTCAGCCAGATAGTGTATCCAAAATGCAGAATGTTTGACTGTATAAATAGGTAGATACATACATAGATATACAACACAAGCACAAGAATGATGCTCATCTGAAAAGCAACCTTAAAACCAGAAGAGTTTACAGGCATATATATAAAAAAAGACATAACCCATCTACCTCTTATTCTGTCACCTCTGAGATAGACTGATGGCTGTCACAAGGAGCACTCACTCGTCCAAGAGGCTTCACTGATTTCAAACAACTTGATTAGCCCTCATGTGCGCACAGCTATGGCCCTGCTGGGGTCCTATGGCCTGCATGTCAAAGTCACAGCAGCAAAATGTCAGATGTGCACCAGAAGTCAAAAATTCCTGAATTCTAACCATCTCCACTAGCTTCAAGCATAGGCTCTGTTCATACGCTGCCTCCACATGTTCACTGCTGGCACACAAAGAGACCATTGAATTTTACAAGGCCACTCATGACCTTAAACACAACCATGCAGATGAAAGCTTGCCTCAGTAGGGCCTTACTGCTCCTGAAAGAAAACATGTTCCACAAAAGTAAAAGTAGACATTTGTTCATTTTCATAATATCAATTTGGGTTTCTTATATTTCCATCATCCACTCTGACAGGCAAGTATGATATCATTACCAAGGGACTTTATTATTTTAAACATAAACTCTTCATAAGCCTCATCATAAAACCCTCCTGCACAACTGTCTCCTTGCTAATGCTTACTTTTATTTTCCCAGTTTACAGCAAGAAAAAGAATAGCTGCTCCAGCTCAAAGGTCTCTTTTGGGAATCCTCTGGTATTTTAGTAGTTTGACAGGTAGCTTGAAAATCATACACGAGTTATAACTCATATAAAAATAAAAGTCTAAAAATGCTTTACAGACTTACTTTTGGAAACTTTGTATACTTCATAGAAAGAATAAAAATGAGAGCCAACTGCAATAAGCAGGTAGAGATAGACTTCCCATGCTGGTAGCGTCATCAGGCCTGGAGCTTTCCACCGTTGATCACACTGTTCACAACTTTGTAGTTAACCCCCTTAAAAAAAAAAAAAAAAAAAAAAAAAAAAAAAAGGAAGCAACACAAAGAAACCTGATACAATGTTGTCCAAGTGTATTAAAACAATAAATAAAGCTACAGGAAGATTGATTATGCAAAACAAAACAAAAAAAACACACACACACACAAACTTTGCATTCAAATGGTCTTCGTTGGGGTATTTCATACCATAACTGTCAGTACCTTCTTAGAGTAAATACTTTGGAGCAGTGAGAAAAGTTTATAAACAGTCTTCTAGTATTTTGATCACAAAACAATAGCATGTATAACAGTGTTTGTATTTAATACTTCTCTTGAGGAGAACTGAAAGATTGCTTTTCTCTGCACAACCATCCCACTTAGTCATAATTTCTGTGTATGTTAAAATCCTCTATCTCCCAATATATGAGATGAACATTTGCATTTAAATTATAGCTCAGAGTGTGCTGAGTTTGAAATTGAAATGCTGCAGCATAAATATATATTTTAATAAAGGCAGGCAATGCATATTCATTTAATAAAAATATATAGATTATATATGGGTTTTGGAAATAAAAGCACTCCTTTAACAGAAAGGCAAGTAGATTGAAAACCATATCTGAGTTGTAACTACCACATATAATGGAAAAGCCTAAAAACGCACTGCATCTGCATAGACACCTATTATAGCTGTCTATCGTATACAGTATATATTACATACACACACACCCTACTCAGACAAACAGGTTCATAAAAATCCTTCACAATGCTGTGGTGCCTAATCAACATAAGGCATTAGGGTTTCACTCAAACATGAAATTGCAGCACTCTCTTTGTATGAAAACACATGCTTGCAGTTAAAAAATGCAGCAAAAAGCTGCAAAAATGACACGGAGCACAAGCACTTCTGAAAGCTGCACACAGAAGGAAAACTTAGCACGTCCTTTACGGCGCAATGCAACAAAGATATCGCCTCCGTAAGGGAGCCTCCGTCACACAGCTCATTCATACAATTCCTAGAGTTATTTCGGTTCGGGACGCAGCCAACACACACGCGGGACCAGAACGGCCCCGCGACACTGCAAGCGCTCGCTTTGAACCAGACCCGCCC